TTGGTACTCAAGGGTATGCATTTTATTCCAACAATTCCTTTGTTTAGTATAACATTTAAAGTGAAAATGATCATTCTTCTGAATTAAAAATTCATTCCACATTTTTTCCTAAATGAAGTTCATTCCACGTTTAAACCAGTGGAATGAAAATCTTGACCACCACCACCACCTTATGCCTTTTGCACCGTCACCTTTCACCTCCACCGCTGATGTAGGACAAAAATCTGAATAGTTCGACAAGTTGTTCAAAAAGTCCATTTTCGACTTCAGAAGAGTGTTTTTGTGGGTGGAAACTATATTTTGAGAAAAACGCACTACCTTTAGCTTATGGACCATGCTGGTTTTCAATTGAAAACCTTCATTTAGGCTCCGAAATTGCATTTTATTGTGTTACAAGATGCTTGCCGATTATTTCGAAATTTTTGTTCTAGGCCTTAAAGAAGTTGGAATGTTCTGAGATTTTATATTTAGTAGTTTTATTTGATTAAGTTTCTTACTCTATTTTTTTAGAGAGAATTCGATCATTCTTGGACTTATTTCTATGATTAATTTCCTTATGTTTTTAGTTTCTTTCTAATATTAAGTTTTCTCTATTATAAATATTCATGTATTGCAAGGGCAGAATTCAACTTTTTTATCAATAATATTTCAAAATTCTTTATGAATTTTATTATAGTTTGTGGATTCAAACTACCTTTCCTTGTGGATTCAAGGTAACCCTCGTTTCTTGTGAACATTCTGTCGTTTTTCGCTACATCAGTTGGCATCAGAGTCTTGATTTACCTGGGCTGATGACGATTGCTCGTTTTGGTAGCACCCACTTTGCCGACAATGATCGTAGAATGAAGGCCCTTTGGCAGCCATGCATACTCAAGATCGGTTCGTAGCAACTAGTTTTGGAATTGGTGGCAACCAGGTTTGTGGTTAAGTTCGAGTTTGCGTTGATGATGTGTCTCGCAACCAACTGAATATGGGTTATGTTTCTGTTTATCCACGTAGGCCTCCAGCTTATGCAGATTATTATAATGACGAAGAGTTTGGATTCAATGATTGAGTTAGACGCAACCATCGTGAATTTTAGATAAAACTTGATCTACTTATGTAGGTGCAAATTTTTACACCCGAGCACTTAAAGAAATAAATTGAAAAGAAATGCACAGAATATTAGTGAAGTAAAAACAATTTTCGAAGAGAAGAACAATGATGGGAATTCGATGCCTCTTCATTCTCTTTCAGGTTTTATTTATAAGCTTTTCTCAGAGATTTACATGAAGCCGTATCTTGGCTTATACTCTCAAACGTGGGTATTTATACCTACTCATCGTGCGTATATCATTATGGCAAAAATTATGGATTTTTGGGCTTGTTAAGACTAGACTGTCCATTCAGCTTTTATGTTAAGTGGAGCTTCCTTCACTTAATTGGGCTAAACTGGTATGCGCATATGGCTTTTATTGTTGGGCCTCCAACTGATTGTGGGCTTCCGGTTAATTTTAGTTTGGTTGTGGGCTGCTCTTTTGCTGCCACGTGGTGTGCTGTGATTGGTAGGGTTTTTTCCATTCATACTTTGCCGACATATTTTTCTGATTTCAAGAGTACTAAGTCTCCTGGATTGAAACTTCTTCTTTTGACTCTTTTATTGTAGCTGCTTGTTATCCTTTGTTGATAGGCTGTTAGTCGAATGACAGCCGCTTCTCTTTTCTTTTCCAAGAGATCCAGATTGTGCTCCAGAAGTTGATTATTTGATCTTTGTTCCCAAGTCAAGCTCTGGATAGTGGGTGCCACCACTTCAATGGGTATCACGGCTTCAGTTCTGTAAGCTAAAGAGAATGAAGTCTCGCCGGTGGGGCGTCTTGGAGTGGTTCTATATGTCCATAGGACATTTGGCAATTCGTCCAACCATTTTTTTTATTTATCTCAGAGCTTCTTTTTGATGCAGGCGAAGATTGTTCAGTTAGTTATTTCTGCCTGCCCATTGCCTTGTGGATGATATATGGTCGATACCTTTTGATTAATCCCGTATTTGTTGAAGAAACACTGAGTGCTTCGATTATCCATGTTTGGTCCGTTGTCCATAATGATGGATTTTGGGATTGTGAATCTGCATATTAGATTGTTCCAAATAAACTTTTTCACCTGGACGTTAGTTACGCTCACATATGCTTCTGCTTCCACCCATTTGGTGAAATAGTCAGTGGCCAATATGACATACTTCTTTTGTGACGCAGCCGTTGGTAGAGGTCCTACTACGTCCATCCCCCGTTAGGCGAATGGCCATGGGCTGCTCATGGTATGTATCTCTTCTAGGGGCTGATGGACAATGGAGGCATACCTTTGGCATTTGGGAATATTCCTCCGCTTCCCTTGCCATATAGGGCTAGAAGTAGCCTTGAGTTAGGGCTTTATGAGCTAACGACCTTCCTCCGGAATGGTTCCCACATTTGCCTTCGTGCAGTTGCCTTAACACTTCCCTAGACTCCGTAAGGGTTAGGTATTTGAGGTAAGGTCCAGAATGTGATCTTCTGAAGAGCTGTCCTTTTATTAATAAGTATTTGGCAACTTTTAGTCTTAGCTGCTGGGCTACTTCCTTAAACTTAGGGAGTTCCCCTCTTGCAAGGTAAGCTTGTATAGGATTTATCCAACTTGGTTCCCATGGAATAACGAACACCTGCTCTCCTCTTACAATACTTGGTGTATCTAGGACATCAATGGGGATAACTCGAGTCAATGATTCGTCCGCTATGGATGCTGCACCGACTAAGCGATCGACTATTGGGTTTTCTTACCTCGGGATTTGTTGAAACTTAATTGAGTCAAAGTATTTTGCTAGCTTTTCAACTTCTTCCCGGTAAGCACACTTTGTACTTAGGGACATACTCTCCTGTCACCTGCTTGATGATGAGCTGTGAATCACTATAAATCCTGAGGTGTCTTATTTGGAGTTCCTTAGCCAGTCTAAGCCCTGCCAGTAGTGCCTCATACTCTGCTTCATTATTCGTGGCTAGGAACTCTAGTCAGATTAACTGCTGGAGCTTGGTCCCTTCGGGAGTTCTTACTTCTAGACCTGCCCTAGCTCCGTTCTGGCTAGAGGAACCATCGATGTATAATTCCCAGCACGGGTTTTCTGCGACTTGCTGCTCTTCTTCTGGACCAGTATCCAAGAAAAAATTTGCAACCACTTGCCCCTTCTTCACGGTGCGTGGTTCATACTGAATGTTGAAGGAGCTCAGCTCGATTGCCCATTTGGTGATCTGACCCGACAGATCTGGCTTATTGAGAATTGCTCTGATCGGATGCGTCGTGGGGACTATTATCTGATGAGAGTCGAAGTAATGCCGAAGCTTTCTTTTGGCCTGGACTACGGCAAGGATAATTTTTTCTACTATCGAGTACCTTCTTTTTGCGTCAATCATGACCTTACTGGAGTAGAAGACCGGGTGCTGCTTTTTTCCCATTTCTCTTATTAGAGCTGAACTGGTCGTTGACTGAGATACTGCTAGATAGAGGTACAACAGTTCTTCAGGATCTGGGGCAGATAAAATTTTGGGGTTTGCCATGTATTCTTTGAGTTTTGCAAGAGCTTCCCATTGCTCCGCCCCCTAAATTTCTCCTTTTCTTGCTTTAATTGCATCAAAGAACGGCTTGCATTTGTTTGACAATCTGGATATGAAACGGCTGAGGGCTGCTACCCCTCCGGTGAGGACTTGAACTTTCTTCATGTTTCAAGGCTTCTTACTCTGTAGTAGTTTTGCCAACTGGGTAGGACTTGCCTTTATTCCCCTCTTGTTTACTAAGTGGCCAGCTGGGTAGGACTTGCCTCTATTCCCCTCTTGTTTACTAAGTGGCCGAGGAACTGGCCCGATGATACTCCGAATGAATACTTTGCTGGATTTAACATCATTTTATTGCCTCTAAGAGTATCAAACACATCTTGCAAGTGTTGCCAATGATCCTTCTTGTTCTTGCTTTTGACAACTATATCGTCTATGTAAGCTTTAACTGTTCGGCCGATCTGTTTTTCGAACATCTTGTTGATTAGCCGCTGATAAGTAGTCCCCTCATTTTTCAACCCGAAGGGCATAACCTTATAGCAGTAGGTCACTCGTTCAGTAATGAAAGAAGTCTTCTCTTCATCCGAAAGGTTCATCGGGATCTGGTTGTAACTTGAATAAGCATCAAGGAAAGTTAATTTTTCATACTCAGTCGTAGCGTCTACCATCTGATCGATTTTGGGAAGCGGGAAGCCATCCTTCGGGCAAGTTTTGTTCAGGTTGGTGAAGTCGATGTATATCCTCCATTTGCCATTCTTTTTTTGGACTACCACTACATTTGACAGCCATTGAGGATACTGGACTTCTCTGATAAACCCTGCTTCTAAAAGCCGGTTGACCTCTTCAGCAATGATTTTGTTTCTTTCGGGGGCGAATCTCCTCTACTTCTACTTCACTGGGTGATGGCTCGGGTCCACGTTTAGGCTATGACAGGCTATCCGTGGATCAATTCTTGGCATATCCCAGTGATTCCAAAAGATGTCGACATTTTGCCTTAAAATCTCTGTCAACTCCTCCTTCTCCTAGGTTTATTGAAGTGTCCCTATATATACTACAACAGTTTTGGCTTTTACCAGTGCTCAAAAACGCTGGTGAAAGCCTTAAAAAGCACTGGTAATTCAATTACCAGCGCTTCTTTAAAAGCACTGGTAAATCTAGCATCGGTAAGGCCTTACCAGCGCTTTTGGAGAAGCACTGGTAAAGCGCCATTTTATTTCCCAACCCCCCCCCCCCCCATGCCAGCACTTCTTAAAAGAACGCTGGTAAAGGGTTATTTAATTTTTTTTTTTCCCCTTATTGTTTTTGGAAAAAAAAATCTTTACAGCTACTAATGTCATCCCAATAACACAAGTCTATAAAAATACCACCCAAATTATTTTTACATAGTACAACCACAAGTTAACCTACTGCCAATATGAAAAATATTATCGAAATTGGCCAGTAAATGTCAACCAAAAAGCGAAAATGTTATACAACCACAAGTTAACCTGCCAATATGAAGATACAATCCAAATTGTCTAGATAAAACTACTAAATGTCACACAAAAAGAATTAAGAATTTTTGACAAATGTAGTACATGTTTTTCAAAAAGAACCCATCTACGGCGAAAGAAATTCAGAAAGCACATCCATTCCCCCATCTTCAGTTTCAACTTCAACTTCAACTTCAACTTCAACAAGTCTTCTTGCCCATTTGATTTGAATTACCCTACATTTTTTATAAATTTATTAAGCACACATTATAATAAATGGAAACTTAACATATAAAAGAAATTAAAAAAGTTTATAACCTTAACTGAATTGGCATCACAACTAGAAAATGAATTTGGAGGTCTAGGAGGAGCATTTAAAGAATTAGAACCCTTCAAAATAACAAAACAAAATACATGAAATCTTGGCATAAGTAAACATATATTTAGTAAAAAGTAAAACTAATAATAAATATACCTGTCCACTACAATTTTGTTGTTGCATCTGCATTAGTCCAACCATTAGTTCTCACTGTAAGAGATTGTTCATTATTAAAGTTTCCCTATTTCTCCTATCACGTCCTTGGATTCTAATTATAGAGAAAAACTAAAAAATCGGGAGTAGTTAACATTTACTAAAATGTTTTGTTCTATGATCTGTATTGAAATTTTAGGTTCACTGGTTTTTTCTCTTTCAGCTTTGCCTTTTTCTATATATGATAAATTTCTAGAATGGTCTGCAAGTTAATGGAAAAGCCCAACACAATAGAAGTAGAACACTAGTTTTGAGTTCTCTGATCAACAGCAACACGACTACTTTGGCAATAATGTATTGTTCATTGATTGTTGACGGTTCTAAGATGAAATGTTATGTACTATCTGAGTACGAGATAGAGCTGCTAACTGATGCTTTTTTTTTTTTTTTCTTTTCTTCTAAGCTTAAGGCTTTTCTAGGAGTAATTATTGCTCATGTATGAACTAATTATGTTTGATGTGTAGTTGGCTTTATGGATTTATCTATGTCCTTCTAACATAGTGTGGTGTTTTCAATATAAGAAAATTATAAATCCTACTAAATAGAGGAGCCATTGTTTTAAGCTTAAAATATAGTCATTGAAGTTTGCTCATGACTCTGCATACCAGTCAACATGTTTCACACACACACACACACACACATTAGTAGTTAGATTTTGCATCTTGGATTACAAAGGATGAATTGATGAACATGTGAGAAATAGAGGAATGAACAATGATTATTGATATGTGTGTGTGTGTGTGTGTGTGTGTGTGTGTGTGTGTAAAGATTTATGTTCTGATATAGAGAATCAGAATTTAACTACAAGGAGGAAGTTCCTCCTTATATGAAGGGGCATGGACAAGTGACAAGGCTAGCACAAAATCCATGGAGAAACTTCAAACCTACCTACCAATGATCCAAATCCATCCACTGCCCCACTAGTTCTCCCCACAAAGGAAAAAAAAGAAAAGAAAAGGATTTAGATTTTCATGCCAACCAAACAATCATAGGAACATAACCCCTTTGAAAGTAAAATGCAAACAAAGGACCCCCATCGATCCTATATGATAATAAAATTTCAAGAAACAAAATTAAAAAAATCATTTTCTCTTAAATAAAAGGGTCCCACCCCAAGTCACCATTTTGGCCCCTATCAATCTCATTTTTAGGTTAATGGCTGATATTCAGTTGTGTCATATTTTTTCATCAAATAAACAATGACTAGTGATTTTTTTTTTTTTTTTTTTCAGTATACAGTTGAATGTTCTGTATCTCAGCCATAGCATTTTATTATCTGTCATGTAAATTTTTCAGTGTCTGAGAATTATGGAGTAGTGGTATGTGTTTTCTTATTTTGTCCTACCATCATTTTCGGATAGTTTTGTTTTTTTTGTTCTACACTTTTAGAGAATGATATGTAATAAAACACCCAAAATTTATCATTTCTTTCTATAACTAAAGATGCTGAGAAAGTTATATCTACAAGATTCATCATGCTTATTTATTGTGATACCCCCTAATTTCGGAACACGGGTTGATCAAATCCGCGCACAAAATTAAGGGATATCAAAACAATTAAAGTATTTAACAAGCACAGAGTATAAAAAGAAAATAAAAAGAATAAATTACTCGCTGAAGGAAAATCTATTAAATAATAAATCCATTAACAATTATCCAATGGTTACAGCTCGGGAATCCCATAACTCAAGGACCTCTTAAAACATTATCCAATACTACTTAAAAGTACACAAGATGAATAGATGAATGATAGTCTCCCAGCTGCGGATCCTCAACCTCGAGACTGGAACCTCTAATAACCTGAAAAATAAATCGTGGGTTAAACCCTACGAGCAAGTTCTCTCTACCATACCTCTGAAAACCAATAATTAGATCATCTCTGATCAAAACCAAAACTAATAAAGTCTTTATCTGTAATGTACATAATATACAATATAACTATAATAACTATTACCAAGCTCATCAATTCCAAAACCATTATCAATGATTAATTAATAATCAAACCCAATCCAATCCACAATTTCTTTTTAAAGAAACTCCTATAACCCTAACTCCATCCTAGACAGCAATTTAATAACTTAAACCATAAAATATAATTAAAAGAACATTTTATTTAATTCCCAAAACCAATAATGATTTTAACTATTTAAATCACACAGTCAATATCTAGACCTTGACAAATCATCCATGTCACTACCAGTATTATTTTATTAATATGCATAAAATAATACACTAACCTGTAAGTACTAGACTATTCTATTTTTAAAATATCTAATCCTAATCCAACTTACACGAACAATAACCATAGATGATATATTTTATTCATCTAACACACAACAATATAATTACACTTTGGCAAATCAGCCATGCTATTTTAAATATATTTATTTATATATCGGCAACTCAATCATGCCTCCTTAAGTATGTTTATTTATACATTGGCAATTCAACCATGCCTCCACAAGTTTATTTATTTATACTTTTAATTAGCAACTCATCCATGCTTCCCATGTATGTATTATATTCATACAAATACTTAGGCATTATATTTACGCCTACGGCAACTTATCCATGCCTACAATTCAACCATGTACCCAGTTTAAACTTAATAACAACCTAACTCATACATAGAAACCTCACGCATATTATTTGCATATCAATAATTTAAAACCAACCTATCCAGATATACCGATTGCATAATAATAACTAATAATAATTATTTTAAATAATATATACTTATTCACATATATAATATAATATATATTTGTATAATACCTTCCATAAATAAATAAATAAATAAATAAATAAATATATATATATATATATATATATATATATATATATATATATATATATACTCCCTTCCACCCTAATCACAAATTAAGTAAACCATATATACATATAAATAATTATAAATATATATATATAAATACATTTCCTTCCGTAATAATAATTAATTATATATACGCATATTAAATATGCAGTGATACTCTGTAGCTCTCAGAATATTAAGAATATCTCCTTTAGTGGTTGGTTCCAACCCTAACAGGTTTGAAATCAAAACTGGAACATCCCCGGACTACACAGCAACCTTCCGGAACTCCAAACAGTTCCTCACGGGCCCCCGCGCGCCGCCAAACTCTCCAATACTCACTGCACGCGCTTCCACGCGCCAACTTCTACCAGCAGGCGCGTCCAAGCGCTGCCACGAGCCTGCACACGCCTGATCCACTCTCGGCGCACGCGTGGCTACTTCTGGTTGGTTGATACTTCTCCCTTTGGTGAGCCGCGCCACACTGTATCCATCTTCCAACATTTAATTGTATCAAGCATTTAGATCATGCATGTGTACTACTCCTCATGGACCGCACCGTACAAGATCATCCTCTACCATCCATCAACTCCATCTACGTACCAAATCAACGTGCACAGCGTCTCCCATGCACACGCTTACACCAGATCATCCCTCGCTTATCAGGACCAATTTATGGTCCTGATTTGGGGCGCACCACAGCTCTGTGAGCCGCGTCTCACGAAATCAACCTCCCTTTTTATTAACTCACGCCGCCGATCCACAGTAGCCTCAATGTATAAACAATATATATTTTGCCCAGAATTTAATAAAAATAATTCTAAAAAAAATATCAAAAAATATAGAATAATTTCAGAAAAATATAAAACAATTACAGAATATTCCATAAAATTACAGAAAATTCTCATTAATTTCCTAAACCCTAATTAACTCTCTTCAAGCTTATAACTTGTTTTTAAAATATATACAACATCTATATATTAAATTTAAAATCCAATAATCCAAAAATCAAATAAAATAATTTATGCTTTTAATTAATTCTGATCTAACCATGATTTAATCAAATAGATTTAATTTAATGCTTTGATTAATTCATTCTATCCATGATTTAAATTAATAAATTTAATTTAAAGTGCTTCAATCTTTGATTGTCTTTTCAAATTCTAGCATTTTCTTTCTCAGATCCGGCCTACTCCTTATCAGCTTTCCCTTCTTCTCTCTTTGTCTCTCTTATTTTTCTAACGTACCAACCTTTTTAACCCTAAACCTTATGTGTATATTTATACACATTAAAACCTAAATCCTATTCCAACTAGGACTACCTAATAAGATAATAACCTTTAAATAATATAATATATATATACATATATTATATTACACACAAATATATATTTATCTTCCATAATTAACTATTAGTTAATTAAATCATATAAACCTATATATATCCATAAATATATATATTTATATATATCTTTCCCTAACAATTATTAATTAATTATTTTTATATATAATTTTATATATTTATAATTAATACCAAGAATGATCATTTAAATAATTAAATAACCATGGGCCTTTATTACTTAACCCAATAAGGCTTCCTTCAAGCCCAAGACCATATCCTTTGGTCCAACTTCCTTTAAGCCTAAATCCAATTAATTTAAATAAATTAACTAATTAAATAAATATGTAAATTAAAATAACTAATGACATGAAATACATAAACAAAATAAGAAATTTACAACTAAGTTATACCATACTAATAAAATCAACACGCCAATAATTCAATCAATAATCAACCACACAAACAATCAATCATCATACATAATCACGAAATATAACTTAATTAAAATAAGATAATTAATCTAGCACTCAATAAAATAAAATAAATCATTGAAAAATAAAATAAAATAATTAATCCTAATTAATAAATCCTTTAAAAATATCGGGGTATTACATTTATGCATTTCCAAATGATGAAATATGTGAGTGCAGTAAGTTACGGTGATTAGAAAATATTTCCTTCTTGAAGACTATGTTTCAAAAGTGCTGGAAGCGTAAAATTGTAACCCTTTTTTTTTTTTTTTTTTTTTTTTAGTAAGCCATAAAATTGTAACTTCATTGCTTCATTGTGCATGTGCGAGACACAGAGAGTGATTGAGAGAGAAGTAGTTAATGTCACAATCTGAAGTCAACTAAGAATAGAGAAGCGAGGTATAGATTTTAAAAGTGAATTCATAGGAGCGAACATGAAAATTTCTGTTGAAGTATAAATTTTAAGAATAGAGAGGGGAATTTAAATGAAAATTTTCGAACTGAATATTGGATTTGGGCAATACAGGCTGGGGCTAGAAACCTACTTTCAAAGGTTAATGGCTGCTCAGAATTACTTCCGTCTGTTACTTATGGTACAACTTTTTAATGTACTTTTCAGAAAAGGAAAAAAGAAAAAGAAAAAACATGTTTCTTGGTTGTATGACTTGTATTTTGGCCTTATAAACCTAGCAAATGTTATCAGTGTATGGTGTAACATGGGGATGACCAGCTCTTTTGTGGACGTTCAGTTAGTATGGTTGTGCATGAAAACATGTATGTGCTATGTATAAACTGCAACACATAAAATTAAAACCCAAAAATTAACATCACAATACTAATATGTTTGTTGTAAATGCATTTTATATGATTATGGATTTCAATCAACAAGAAGCCTCCACATACAATGATCCTATACTCCCATGCTTTTCAACAAATACAAGAAAGTAAATTGCCTCCACACGGGCCGATGATAAATAATGAAATTTAAATGCCTCCACACGGGCCGATGATTTAAAAATTGGTCACTTCAAGGCATGTGACCCCCTAATACATTGCAAAGAGTTTAAAAATTGGTCACTTCAAGGCACGTGACCCCCTTTTTGCAAAATGGAAGCATGAAAA